AAAAATAAGTTTGAAGCCCAATTTAGACTTAATTAAGAAGCTTGGAATTTTAGATGATCAAATTAAATTTTTACAAAGTTAATTGATTGAAATTAAAGATAAAATTACAAGAAAATCAAAGTTTAAAGAATTAATTAAGAGCTAAAATAAATAATATCACAATAAAGGATATTTTGAAAGAAAAAACATCAAATTCTATAGACTTAATTTGGTTAAAATAAGAGGTGAAAGAGAATTAAAAGTTTAAAGGGAAATTGATAGTTAATTTACATAAATCAAAGATAAAGAACAAAAAAAAAGTGATGAGATTTGGGATTAATATTGAAGTTTTACAAGGACAAAAATACATTAAATTAAAAGTTTGGAGTGAAATGGATACAATTAAAAAAAATTAAAAGTTGAAAACAATTAAGAAAATAAAAAATTAAAACACTAAATGGAACTGGAACTTAGATCAAATTCTTAAATTATATTTTTTTTGTTGCATTTTAGGTCAATAAAAATATATTTTAATAACTGCTTTTTATGCATAACTTTGACTGCACTGTAACCGTTTCCCTCGAAGAGTTATTACAAAATATGATAATAATAATGGGTTAAATGATTCGATAATTATTTATAAGATTTTTTACAATCACCATGAATATAACCCGTTGATTGCAAGCCATCAACCCGTATTAAAGTTCCACGCAATAGATTAAGTTGACTTCGTGCATGGCAAAGACTAATAACCAAGAGTCTATGCCCACGGCATAGGTTTTTTTTAATTGTGACGTCCATCCCAGGTTAATCCCCCTAAAAAAAAAGAAATGGTAATAATAATAATAATAATAATAATAAATAATATAAACAAATCATTTTCACCGGGGCACACAAAATTATAATCACACATGCTTCAGCCACAAAAATAAAAAGAAATTTGTTACCCATTACCGTATGATCAACCCCCTCATTTTTTTGGCTGAAATATAATGTCATGGTTTATGTCATCGCAACGCGCCTTAAGATAAATAAATAAAAAAAGAAAGGCTAGGTTGCAATCTTTTATAAATATTATTAATAATTAGTGGGATAAATAATTATATAAATTTTTTATATAATGGTATTTTGATTGAATTCTTGATTTTAATATAATATAAATATAATAGATAAATATATAATTATTATTTCTAAGTTTTTAAATGTTTTTAAAAAGCATGTACATGGAATCTATTATTGTAAAGAAAGATTACAAGTGAAATAAAATTATTTAGAAATGCTAAACATAACTTTGATGAAGCATTCATAATAAATAATCACATCTTTTTACCTCCAGATATATAATTTTTATATTTAAAAATATTATTTAAGATGGTCTTACTTATTATTTTTTTGTATTGATAAATGATGGATGATATATGAAACTAATGCTCCAAATCTATAACATTTGACCATACAAGTGCTAAGTCAAACTTATAATTTTTCAAGATATGAGGGAAATTAGAGTATTTTTAAACATATTTACTCCAAGAGGAGAAATAGATTGAAACATCAAAGACTTAATGATCTTATTTATGTTCACTACAGTATAAAATTGAAACAAAAGTATGTTTTTTTTAAAATTCTTAAATATTATTGTATCTTATTTAGTAGCATTATTAATACTTACATTCTGTTTACCTTCACTTTTAATATATAAAAATTATTAGAAAGGATAAAATTATAATGTAATTAATTTTGAGACAATTTATGGCTTAAACATTAGGTAATATAAAATGACCTGTAAATTTTGACAACTAAAGAAGAAAAGAGTTTTCACAAGCTTTATTAACAATGACCAAATAATATACTTTAGATTATGGTAATTAATGATTGATTATTTAGTAATAAATATTATTTAAAACTAAGTATTGTTTAACATATAATATTTATTTGTTAATTGTGTTTTAAATGTAGATATTATAAATATTAATGATGTTGAAGATGATTGTGATGATAAAATTTCAAAGGAGCATGTGAAGTTTTATTAGGTGTTAATGAAATTGGCTTAATTCTATCGATATTTGATTCAAATTTTATTCCTATAAACACCAAAGAATTTAATGTGTTCATTTAACAGAAGTGAATGTGTTATTGATTTAGAATTTATATTTTTGGATATTTTTTTAAATATTTTAGAATTTATATTTGGTTTGTGTTTTGAATATTAAATTAAATTTATATTATTGGTTTAAAATTTAAATTTAATTTATATAAGTATTGCGTTGTAACTAGTTAGATATTTTTTATAGTATTGTATTAGTTTTTTTGTTAACTGGAGTCAACCCATCTAACCTGTGACATGAGAATTATATCGAGGTAGTTATCGGGTCGAGTTTAAAAACTATAATGTTAAGTGACTGATAATTATTTTAGTTACAAGTGTTGCCTTCTAAGTCAGGTGATTAGTATATATTATTATATGTTGTAATAGAAAACAATGTTTAATAAATCTTGTGACCAATAGATAGTACTTACAAAAATAAAGAGATTGTGCCGTGAAAAATTTATTGTATATTTATTATTCATAAATTTTATTTTTTTTATAATTTTATCTTTATAATATTTTAAGTTATATTTAACTTAAAATAAATATATATTTGATAAATATAAAATAATAAAAAATATAAATAAAATACTTGAAAAATTTTCTATTAAGAATTACGCTCGGATAGTGGTTGTGCTACCATTGCATCGAAAGCAACTTCGTTGAAAAATGAGTAATTATCAAATCGAAAATTACAGCTTGGAAATAAGACTCTTACTCCTCGCTTCTTATTACAACAAATTGATAAGCTGAGGTTAGCTAGTAGAACACACTGATTGCAATCAGATGTAGATAGATCTGGTGTGCACTGCACAAGAACGTATAGAGATTTGAGAAACATATATATCACTTTTTTGGCTGCAAGCTTTTTAAAACCTGATGGTGCACTTGCAGCTTCATTAGCTGCTCCAGATATAGTATTCACCAGTAGCTTGTTAAATTCCACATCATATCATATGATAGCCTCCTTCGCGATTGGATGTATCATTCGTGGCCAAGTTCACACAGTTTTGGCAAACTTCAACACTAACATCGCTGCGGCAGAGGAAGAGGCCATAGACCTCATAAACATCATGTCCTGTAGAGGCGTTATAGAATCCGTTAATGTCATTGCGGGTTGCATTGGAGGCAAGTGAAGAGAGAAGGATGTTTCAATTGGCTTGATACGTGCTGTTTCTTACGAAAGTGGTTGTGTTCGAGCATATATGACCCAGGTAGTTCATCTCATGTGCTTCCGTGATGTTAATGGTCATCAGGGCTGCAAAGCAAAGCAGGAATATATATGGAGAGTTTCAGAACCAACATTTTGTGATAACTGGTAAGGTTTTCTTGCTCTTATTTTGGGCAATAGAGTCATCTTTCCTTGTACATGGAGGAGCTCCTTGAGGCAAGTCAATGACCGAAGTCAAATGAGAACTTTTAAACGTGTGGAATATTGAAATGTGAAAAGAAGAAGAAAAAATTTGAGCATTTAATCAATCGATGATGGTGACAGAAGTAAATGAGGGACAAGGGCATCTCATATCAATAAAACTTATTAGTGATTGTGCCTCTGCATAGTAATTGCATAATTAACTAAGAGTTATATAATATCTATCTTTAGTTAAACTCAAACAATGATTAATAAAATTAATCAAATGATTTGGTTACTGATCAGTAATCTTCCAGCATATACTGTAATATATCACCTTCAATTTTTCAAGCATGGCCAATTATTTTATAACTTGGAAATCCATTTCAAGTGATTTATATATATATATATACAATTTAATATTTTAAGGGTATAGGAGTCAAATCATATCCAGAAATTCAACGCTAGTTTTCTTTTGTCTTTATTATTTCATGTTAAATCCATAACTAATTATTAAACTTGGTGAAAAGGATCACGAAAGAAAAAGTAATTTGAACAAAAAGAAAAAAGAAAAAAGAAGAGATCAAAAGATCATGTAAAATGGAAAAAAAAATTGCAATCTAATTTTATAATAACTAGAAAATTCTTTAAGATTGTATTGATTAAAATGTATTTAAAGATCACCGAAATTACATTGATAATGTCCCAATTCACTTGCAGCATCAAAGATTATTCTAAAAATAAGAACACAAAAAACATGAACATTGAAACGGCCACAAGCCAACGTTTTGTTTATGGTCATAAGATTTAACAGAAGGGTACATTTTAAAAATGCATTTAATTATAATAGCTTAATTTTTGTATAGAGGAATGATTGAGAAAATGAAAAATATATAAAGATAAATTACTAAGTTTCCATAATTTTTATTCTAATATTTTTTAACACATTTTACTTATTTTGACAAACACATATTATTTTTAATTTTAATTGATTTTCAATCTTTTTACATTTATTATTTTGTCTTTAATCTCATCCATATATTTGGCATCATTCGTTATCTTACTAGGGCAACTAACAGAACTTAGTCAACTTAATAGCTGCATGATGAAGATTTATTGTTTAAATGGTTGTAGGGGTCAATTTGAGCTCAAATATTGTAGGTAGACTGTAATAACAGGGACCCACTAAAATGATTATCTTGCCCTTTATGGGCATTTGTGTGATATTATGTTCCTGTGCCATTTATGGCTTTATCAGGCCTTCAGCTCATGGAAATATGATCAACGGGCTGGATCCCTTCGAGAGATAAGATAGCAAAAATGATGTTTCCTCTTTGTTTGGGTTCTTGATTTCAAGGAGCAATATTAATGATGGTTATTGATGCCTGGACAAAGAAGTCACTGACGCTGTATTTGGTTTCTTTGGGCCTAAAAGTAGTCACAAGCGAAGGGCAAGGAGGCCTAAGAGGCCCATAAATTGGAGCAGCCATAAATACAAACTTTTGGTTCAATTGATTTTTTGAAGATTTTAGGTTTCATTGTAGCATCAAATATGATTTGTATGTAAGATAATAGTTCTCAGACTGCGAAGAAAAACAAATCAAGAAGATATGTTTATATCTGTCTGGAAATGTCTGTGTTTGTCAAGAAAAACAGTCGAAGGAGCTACAACTTCATTCTCTTAAATTTAAAACTTAATTTACAGTCACTGTGGTGATAAAACGGAAAGGGTTAATTCATTGGCAGAACAAACTTTCTGATTTGAGGATTGACCTTCCATGGCAACAAATCGGCCGATAGAAAATGCTGGCTGTTTAGGGATAGGGAGTGTTATGGTATCGCTTGCCAACTTATGAAGCACAGATGACATTGTGGGTCTATCTGCTGGATCCTCTTGCACGCAGAGCAGCCCAATGTGGATGCATCTCAGCACCTCAGTTGCCACGCTTGATTTCTCTAGCATAGGGTCCATCAATTCCAGGCCTTGACCATCAGACCACAGTTTCCATGCCTGAAAAATCGAGAGACTTCCTGAATTGATATAACAAAAATCATTTCTAGTAATCCTCTTTTGGATAAAAAGATATGAATTGTAACCTACAAAAGTGGAAAGGCTTTCGCCTTCTTCTGAAAGATGAAAGGCAGAGTTTTTTTTCCCACTGATAATCTCTAACAGCAACACTCCAAAACTAAAAACATCGGATTTTACGGAAAAAAGTCCCGCCATAGCATACTCTGGGGCCATGTATCCACTGTTTTGAATCGACACGAGGAAATAAATTGCTTTATATGCATGAAGAGGTTAGCAAATTTCTCTTGCATCATATAAATCGGTCAAGAATGCACCACTGTGAACCTTCACCACCTCGCTGGAAAAATAATATTTGATATAAAATTATTTATTAAATTTCATTTAACAGTTAAAATTTTTTAGCTTAATTAAATACTTTTTAAAATGATATTAAAACCATGATGACGGAAAGTTCATGAGTTCTAATTTTACCAGAGAGTATCGTTATGGAATGGTTATGGATTTGTATGAGTAAATTTATTTTTTTAAAAAAAATTATTTAATGGTTTGTTTTTAAATTAATTTTCTTTTTCACATTAATAAAGAAAAGAATAAGAAAATCCATTTGTTCCAAACAAATATACAATTGAAAACAATAACACTGGGAATGGAGATGTAGTAATACGTACTAAGTTCCGACAATTCTATTCGTGTTAGCCTCGCTTTGATTTCCATCGAAAATCCTAGCCATTCCAAAGTCTGATATCTTCGGATTCATCTCATAATCAAGCAAAATGTTGTTTGTTTTGAGATCCCTGTGAATAATTCTAAGACGAGAATCTTCATGAAGATACAAGAGCCCCCGTGCAATTCCTTTAATAATACTCAAGCGTCTTTGCCAGTCAAGCAGGACTCCATTGCTAGAACCTGAGTAGCATAAACATAAAAATCAAATCAGTTACAATTTCTGGTCTTTGTTATAGAGTACAAAGATTCAGGTGTTTCAAGTTTAGGGGTCTAACCAAAAAGAAAGACATCGAGGCTTTTATTGGGCATATACTCGTATATAAGTAACTTTTCATTTTTTTCCAGGCAGCATCCCAAGAGTCTGACAAGATTTCTGTGTTGTAATCTGGCGATTAAAACGACTTCGTTCAGGAATTCTCTTTGTCCTTGACCAGAAGTTCTTGAGAGCCTCTTAACTGCAACTTCTTTGCCATCCTCTAACGTACCCTGAGCACAAACTATTCTAATAAGCATTAATATTTGTGGGCCAAAGTGTGATGCATTTTCGAATTTGTGTATTGAGAGATTGACAAATAACAGAATTCGATTGCCAGAACATACTTTCTGATTTGAGGACTGACCTTCCATGGCAACAAATCGGCCGATAGAAAATGCAGGTTGTTTAGGGATAGGGAGCGCTATGGTATCACTTGCCAACATATGAAGCACAGATGACATTGTGGGTCTATCTGCTGGATCCTCTTGCACGCAGAGCAGCCCAATGTGGATGCATCTCAGCACCTCAGTTGCCACGCTTGATTTCTCTAGCATAGTGTCCATCAATTCCAGGCCTTGACCATCAGACCACAGTTTCCATGCCTGAAAAATCGAGACTTCCTGAATTGAGATACAAAAATCATTGCTAGTAATCCTTTTTTGGATAGAAAGATAGGATTTGTAACCTACAAAAGTGAGAAGGCTTTCGCCTTCTTCTGAAAGATGAAAGCCAACGTTTTTTTTCCCACTGATTATCTCTAACAGCAACACTCCAAAACTGAAAACATCTGATTTTACAGAAAAAAGTCCCGCCATAGCATACTCTGGGGCCATGTATCCACTGTTTTGTATTGACACAAGAGGAAACAAATTGCTTCATATTCATGAAGAGGTTAGCAAAATTCTTTTGCATCATATAAATCGGTCAAGAATGAACCTTTGCCACCTCGCTGTAAAAATAATATTTATCATATTTGATATAACATTATTCTTTAAATTGGTATTAAAACCGTGATGACGGAAAATTCATGAGTTCTAGTCTCATTATATAAAGTAGTTATAGATCTGGGTGAGTAAATTATTTTAAAAAAAAATTTAATAATTTAAATTTTTAAATTGAAATTATATTTTGAAAAGAAAGAATAAAGAAAGAATAAGAAAGTCCATTTGTTCCAAAAAAAAATATGCAATTGAAAACAATAACACTGTGGGAATGGAAATGTAGTAATACGTACTATGTTCCGACAATTCTATTCGTGTTAGCCTCGCTTTGATTTCCATCGAAAATCCTAGCCATTCCAAAGTCTGATATCTTCGGATTCATCTCATAATCAAGCAAAATGTTGCTTGCTTTGAGATCCCTATGAATAATTCTAAGACGAGAATCTTCGTGAAGATACAAGAGCCCCCGTGCAATTCCTTTAATAATACTCAAGCGTCTTTGCCAGTCAAGCAGGACTCCATTTCTGGAACCTGAGTAGCATTTACATCTTGTTTCGACACTTCAAAATTTTTGTTCTGTTTTTAACCTTCTACCTACTCAATCTCTGCATAGCATTTTTTCAGATGATGACCTGAATAGAGAAAAATTCACGGAATGAAAGCCAATTACTCAATCTCTGCCTAATTTCGTCTTCTTTTCAAGCTTAACCAAAACATATTTGCAAATTCAAAGGTTTTAGGAATTCTGGTTCAAAATTTTAATTTCTTGTCATGATTATATCTCAAAAATATTTGGAAATCACCTGCACGTATATAGAAACTAACTAGGTAGCTCATATATATAATATAAATTTTTTAGTACCAAGACTTTCGGTACATATCAAATGCATACCTGTTCTCAGATTCGTCATCCTCCTCTTGGTGTAAATGCAAGCACTGAAAAATAGCACAGCAATAACTGCGGATAGGCCTGCACCGACTTTAATCCACATAGATTTGGTTCCATCTCCTTCATAGTGACAATGTTTTTGTTTCACATCATTATTCAAGATAACAGAATCTCATATTAAAGAAATGACAAGGAATGATTTTGGAATGATAAAGAAGAAAATGGAACCTATTGGGCCTGGAGATGGAGGGAGGAGAACAACTGGCATGGATAGTGGTGGTGGTGACATTGCCACGACGGCAGCTTGGTTGTAAAATGAATAATTTTCATATCGAAAATTACAGCTTGGAAATAAGATTCTTCCTCGGTTATTATTACAACAAATTGATATGCTGAGTTTAGCTAGTAGAAGACACTGATTACAATCATTTTTAGATAGATCCGGTGTGCACTGCACAAGAATGTATAGAGACTCAAGCCTCGTATAAATCTCTTTTTTGGTTGCCGACTTTTTTTTACCTGAGGGCGCACTTGCAGCTACATGAACAGCATCAGATATAGTATTCACCAGTAGCTTGTTAAATTCTACATCAACAGTTATATATGGTGTATTGAACTTGTAAAGCGCAGGCGTTTGGCTCAAGCTGGAGAAGATGTTACTGTTTGAGTAGCGCAGGAAGCACTGATCATACCATATGATAGCCTCCTTCTGGATTGGACAACGTTGGACCACATCGTTTCTTGCAAGGTTCACACATTCTTGGCAAACTTCGACACTAACATCGCCACGGCAAAGAAAGAGGCCATAGACCTGATCATAAACATCATGTCCTGTAGAGGCGTTATAGAATCCGTTAATGTCATTACGGGTTGCATTGGCGGCGAGCGAAGAGAGAAGGATATTTAAATTGGCTTGATACGGGCTGTTTCTTACGAAAGTGGTTGTGTTTGAGCATTTATGATCAAGGAAAAAGATCTCCTGTGCTTCCGTGAGGGCTGCAAAGGAAAGCAGGAAAATGGAGAGTTTTCCTTTCTTTTACATGGAGGATCTCCTTGCCGCCAGTTTATGGCAAAAGTCAAGTGAGAACTTTCATAGTCTGTTTCGTTAAGAAAGAGTTGCATGTTTCTAATTAATGTGAAACTCGAATTGTGGAATATTGAAATATGAAAAGAAGAATAAATGATGGTGATAATCACATGTCACGTTAATAAAACTTAACTAAACTAAGTCCCAACAGGGAATGTTTCTTTTTATTTCAAGAGTATTTTTAAAAAAATTAAAAAAAAATATTTCTTTTACTTTAAATTTATTTTTTTAATTTTTCAAAAATATAATAATATTAAAAATAATTTTTAAAACATAAAAAAACATTATTTTAAAATAAACACTTTAAAAACAACCATTAACCACATCTAATCAAATGAACGTCACTTATTAATCTCCAAAAAAAAAAAACAAAAATCTCCAATTCACCACTAA